CGCCTTAGTGTTGGCTTGTAATCCCAGTTTGTCTGACAACATCCTTCTTTGTTTTCTTCCAGAGGGCAGCTCTTTGTTTTTCTGTCTATGGATGGGTGTGTTTGTGCAGAGCAATGCTAAAACGTTTTAGATAGCCTGTTCAGAGCTGCCACAGAGTTATTTTAAATCTTGTTGTTATTCTGATGGTGCAGTCCGGCTGTTGTCCTAACTGCCAAATGATTCATTTATGTTTGTATCTCATTTCTTCCATACGTGGGCGTATTTCAAACATCAACTCAGGAAGTTTTTTGTCATGCATTATCATTGTTCAGATTGTATTGTCTCACTTTGTTTTCCATTTTTGTGTGATGGAAGTTTTAGGCAGAGAATATACATAATAATCAATGTGATGTTATTTCTTAAAAACCTAATATATTTACTAAGACTGTGCTATGTATATGGAGTCTGAAGCCCCACATCATCATTCTAGTTTGAGCTCTAAATACTACTGTACTACAGATTTTGAGTCGGTAGTACAAATCTACAGTCATGTGCTACTGCTACAGGACTTGGTCTGTCACTAACAGTATCCCTGAATGTCCCTATTTGGTGCTTTCATTATCAATGTCCTACTCTCAGGCACAAAGAGGTCAAGTGCATAGCAATGTGCTGCGCTCACCTCAGGGGTTTTGAGCTTTCCTGTGCTTTCTCATGCATGTTACTCAATAAATACATGGATTCAGGTTAGGGGAAGATAAAAAAAATGGAAAGAAAGGGAAAGGAAGTGCATTAAAATGTGCATGTATGTGTGTGGGAACATGCAAAGAAGAGAATATGAGAGAGCAAGGGTGTATAAGAAAAGAGAGAAAGAGTGATAGAGAGACTTAGACTGACATGTCTTTTGGTGAAGCGGTGTCGTCTTCCACATCAGTGTCTGATGCTTGTGCTGCCAGGTGCTGAAAATCTGGTTCAGAAAGGAGAGAAGAGAGAAGAAGGGGAAAGTAGAGAAAAAAAGGCAGAGTAGATGGAGGATTTTTTTTTAATGTGACGGCGCTGACAGCTCCCCTGCATTGCACTGAGCTTAAATAATGGGATGCTCATTTGCATAACGAGGGACGTTATCACCTCTACTGTCAAAAGAAAACACAACAACAGTTCTTCTGCTCCTCCCTGAGATAGATTGGGTTGGCCTACTTTAGCACTCTGGAGAGATGCACTGGAGCTCTGGCTTAGCCAAGCTCGTACAAGAACACACGCACACACACACACACCTGCACGCATACACGGACACCCAGTCACTCACATGTGTAAACTTTTTGGAGTGCAGCTTTCCTCTTGTTCATCAGCTGCTGGCCCTCTAACACAGGTACACACACTGAGTGGTGTACACACAAGCGAATGCACAAGTGCTCAACATCTGTGTTATGCCCTGCCATTTTGGAGATGAGCTGCAGATACTGCAAAGAAAAGCTGTGTCTGGCCGTTCCATTTTCAATGCGGAGCAGGTCTGTGGGAAGAGACAAAATGTATTTCTCAGTCTAAAGGTAATGTTACAGTGTTGGTGATTAGAGCATTTAAGTTAGCGGCACTTCCAAAACACTGTCAAACTCTCTGCGAACGAGGCGAGATCCTGACAGTGCTGTCTGCTCTCATAGTCGGTGCCTGAGAAAAAAATGCAAAAACTGATTTGCATGATATCGACAGTGAAAAACACAGCAGTTTTCACAACAGTGTTGACAGATTCTTTGTCTTTCTTCACCCTCCCTTGTGGCTGCCATGATGCCACTTTTATTATTTTTTCTCTCAGCATTTTGCTATATTTCATTTCATTTAATGCTTATGCCCCCCCTCCTTTTTTTTCTTGCAGGTACAGATGCTGGAATCTTTGAGTTGATTGGAACAAATAGAAATCAGAAAAAAGAGATAAAGGAAGAGCAGAAGAGTGAAGAGAAGGAAGAAGTGAAAGAAGAAGAAAGACGAGAGAGAAGAAAGCACAAATTTCTTTAGAAAGAGGGGAAAAAGAAAGACGGGGACGATGGGGAGGAAAAAGATTCAGATCACGCGGATTATGGATGAACGCAACAGACAGGTAAGTCCCTAGGGGATGGCAGGATGGATGAGTAGGAAGGTGGTGAAGAGGAGGGGTGGAGGAGGGAGGAAGGAGAAACACCCTACACCCCACATAGCCCTCAACAGTGATGGTCTTCTGGGAGTCTGGGCAATATGTGAACAGGGAGACAGAGAAGCTTGTATACAGATACCATAGTTATTGCTTTGGGTGGAATAGTTCCACTGGCTTATAATGGCAGGTTTGCTTCTTGTCACTCTAACAAACCAGTGTGAGGGTAACACGAGCATGTTTCCTACAACAGATTTGCATAAGAACACTGGTAATTCTCAAAATTTATAATTTTCAAAAGCCATTGTGCATATCACTGTTGGCTCTGAGGATGGCATTCTACACGCAGCTGAAGCACCCTTCACGCCCAGCCTCTCACACCATAGCACCCAGTTTAGCTCACTGGAAGTGGAATATTACTAGGCTGAGCGTGGTAGCATCAGAGAGGTATAAACAAACAACCAAACAGACGTGGGATGGTCTAAAGTGACACACTGGCCAGGGCCAACAGGGTGGAGGTGAATGGAAGCCTAGGAAAGAAACACTAATGCAGTGTATTTCTTAAGCTAAATTGGTAATCTTAGCACCTGAAGTAGTTTTCCTCTGTGTAACCAAAGGGATACATTTTACATCCATGACACATAGCAATTTGAGAAAAAAGGCAGACAGCTATCTAACAGTAATGGAATTCTTGCGAGACACTTCTGAACAACAGCTGGTATTACTTGAGAGAGTCATAACAAATTGTTGACAGCATGATTCAAACAGACGCTACCGTCTGTGGCAGGAAACAGATAGAGACAGAGCTCTCTCACTGCCCTCCAGGCCCACAATCGATCACTTCCTGTGGCATGACTGACCACTGACACTTTGTCAGCTTCCTGGCAGCCCAATTGCATCCATACGTTGCTAACATGGCCCCTGGATCACAGGTCAAATCACAGATCACCTTGTTTGAATGAAAGCCCTCTTCATTGCATTTGCCACATCTTTGCCATGTGACAGTCACAATGATGCTCCACAAACATTTCTCAAAACTCAGTCATTTGTAGCCAGAGTCCAGTAAATCAACATAAAGAGAACTGACTAGGTAAATGAAGCAGATTTTGACCCACAATGACTGTAATAACAAGAAGTCACAGAGAAAGGGGTGTGAAAGTGAGAAAGAAACAACTTCCAGAAATGATGATTTTACTGATCGTGCTACCTTGGAAACAGAGCGTGTATGTGCCCATGTGCTCATGTGCCCATGTGCTCATTTTTTAAATCATATATTTGTTGCTGAAAGAGAGGTAGGAAGACAGAGAGAAAGAACACGAGCAAGGAGGAGGTCATAGAGGTTTAGATGAGGACTAAAGCTATCGGGTTGCAGCAGCACCCATGCTTCCTCCTTATTATTATCTCAGCCCTTCTCTCATCCCACCTTAGACTCAGCCTGCCAGTTCAACCAGGCACTTCGGCTCCTGAGGATAAGGAGGGAACAAGGGAGACAGGAAGGACACCTGAGGGGAATCGATGCCTGAGATCCGGGTTTTACTTACAGGGAGAGGACAAGGAGGAAGGGGAGGAAAAGGGTTCAGGGAAAGGAAAATCAATGTATCACTGGGTTTGGGTGTTTCAATTTCTAAAATGATAGAATACTTTAGCTTTTGTTTCAGTCAAATAATGATTCCTCCTGAAATTATGTCATCAAGTCATGTGGAAAATGTCACATGCTCTGTGGAGCATAGCATTCAGGGTTATTCAACTTACGGACTAAATAAATGACATCACCATATTTTATAGAGGCGGACATCACATGACTGAGACAGACACAGAGACTTCAATTTCTTCTTAAAACAAAAAAAAAACAAAACAAAACAAAACAAAAAAAAAACAGAAGCTTTGCCTTTGCATATTTTCACTTCCTTTTTAAGGAAATGTTCCAGAGCTTAAACCAAATAAACACCAGAGGGGTTTGTATAGTGTTGCTTTCAGCCTCAGATTCTTTCCATACATTTACCGTTTTATGTCTAAATAGTTTTGGCATCTTCTTAAAGTTCTTCTGTGGTCTTCTGTGTTTAACAGATTTATTAATTTTTTTATGAATTGTACAAAGGATATAGTGATTGTGATACTTGACATAATATGAAGATTCAGCAGCTCATAAAATTGTATAATGGGGGACAATTCCTGTTTTCATTTACAAATAGCAATGCAAAGCTTTGGTAACATTTCCTCACAATCCTACATGTCACCATACACATTTTATACTACAGCCAAAGTGTGACTGGAGTGGCACCACTCTGTGTGGCTGTCAGCACTACCTTTCTACCTACAGGGCTAAAGTGCCTTCCCACTCTTGCCCTCCCTGCATCAGCAGCACCACAGTGGGCACAGGGGTTGGCCCTCTCTGGGCAGCCACTTTGGGCTGCCACCCCCAGGCCCTGAAACACTTCCCCAGAGCACAGGCAGAAGGGTTAGGCCTCCCTGGCGTTGACTGGCTGCCCGGAGCTCTGGACAGTGGGCAGCAGTGTTTGAGCTCTGGCTCCTAGCCCCCAGACCACTCAAACCCTCTCCCAGCCTCGGGCACATGAAAGAGCCCCCTGTGCCATAAACTCATGTGCTACACACAGAGAGCAGACTCTCTTGCCCCAACTCACACAAACACGCACACACAGGCAGGCACATACCTACAGAACTAGATGCATGCACAGGTGAGTGTGTGCATACACACTGGCATAGATTTGAGACATATCAAGTTGTATGCTCAGACACACACTTAATTGTAAATTTAGTGCTTTGTCAATGCAACATAGCCAAATACATTCTTGTAAACACATATACACATCTAGAACACACGTATCTCTCTGGAGTCTGTCTTGGGGGTTGACTAATTTACTGCAATTGGCTCTAATTGGTGTTACCTCTCCAGCCAGTACACTCTGTGGGCTTAATTTAGGATGACTTGTTTGTGCAAATCTGTGTGTATGTGTGGAACATGTGGATTCCAGGGGGGAAGGGACCCAGGGCCAAAGGTTAAACATGGATCAGGTCATCAGTGAGAGGAAGTAAAACAACAGGATCGCTCAGCTCCCACAAACAACAGTCACACTAACACATGCTTAGATAGAAAAGAATTAAAAAGAAGTTTAAATGTCTCCTTGCATACATCTTCCCTTTCCTCCCCATGTTAACAGCAGTGCTACAGCTACAATAAGGGGTCTTTTTGTCACTACGACAAAGCACTCTTCTCTCCAATCAACAGCACTGGGTGAGAAAATGTGCAAGTGAAATTAACAGCAGGAAAATAATGAGGCCCACAGGGTAGCTCCTCACCCCTGCACCCCTCCTCTAATTCCCTGTTTTCCACTTTGTACCATCTCCTTCTTTTACCACAGCGAGTGGCACTCCTCTCTGTCATATGTTCACCGCTGCGAGACCTCACCTGAAAAGGGCTCACTAAGCTCTCACCTTCTTTCTGTTGTATTTTTCTTCTCTTTTGCCTTCTCAACTTATTTCTTGTTTCGCTTCTGTTTCACATGTTCTTCACATGGCTCATTTTGCTCTCTCACCTCACCCTCAATTTCTTTTTCCCTCACTAGAAAGCCTTGATGGTTTGTGTAGCTTCCATTCTTTATTTTCCATTGTCCGCTATAGGGCTGATAATGCTGAGATTTTAATTTTCAAAATAAACCTAATGCAAAAACATCTAAAAAATATGTTGTGCATACACTGTGTAGGTTGATGTTTAACAATTTATTTCCTTTTTTCTTGTGCTTTAGAAATAACTTTGAGGGACTGGCTCATAATGTCATCTGTAGCTTTTCTCTATTTTTTTTTACTACTAGAAGGGAATTCTGAGCTGTGCTTGTTATGTGAAGACTCCATTTAGTCAAACCTGGGTTTAACTGGGTTTGTCTTGTAGCAGAAATGACTAAAACAACATATAATATGTGTGAATTTGTTTGGTTTGGGCCAGTCAGCCCCTTTTGAGAAGAAAAGTGTTTATCCACCTCCAATGAAGGGCTACAAAACTATATTTGTCATTCCAACCAATAACTTGGGCCTTTCAATGTAACATCCACTTTTTTTTTTAAATTCGGTGAGTATATGCTTTTCTAGTTGCAGTTTTTTCTGCATAAACAGGAACATAGAGAAGAGCTCAACCAATCATTTCAGTGATGCATTCAAACGTAATTACCAGCTCTGGTAAGAACAATTTCAATGGCTATGTATTTTAAGACATGCACCTATAACTAAAATTGACATAATTAAGACACCACTTCACTGGTTTCACAGATTCACTTTTAACTACTCAACGTGGACACTTTTGATTTTGATGCTGAATGAAGAAATGTTTGGAGTCTGCTGCCTCCTGTTCTTACAGTACAATGAAGGCACACGGAAAAAGGATGATAAGTGGGGTTTTGAGGAGAGAGAAGAGCATAGCATATATTAGCAGTAGGACAAAGCTTCTTTTGTCGTAATGCCCCTCTTAACGGCTTCTTTGGCTGTGAGGCAGAGTTCAGCCCCAGGTCTTGGGCTCTGCTTATTCCTTTTGCGTAAGCCCGTGTCTTCCTGCTTGGCCCCTGACAATGGGATAAGTGTTTGTCTCAAGACAAATTGTGCTGCTCCATAGCTGACTGACATCTATGCGTGTGCGTGCTTGTGTGTGTGTGTGTGTCCCCGCACAGCCATGTTTGGTTTGCTAACCAGCAGTTTTTGGTGCCTGTCTCCCCACTCCTCCTCTTCCTCCACCTCCTCCTCCCCCAGGGAAGCAGGCAGGAGGTGGGGAGCAGAAGCGAAGCCATTGTGAAGGGGAAGCCACTGGCCTCTTCCTGTTATGAGAGGAAATGCATACAAATGTGCTTCCTGTGCGTCCGCCCCCTCTCGTCTCCCTCCTCCTCCCTACTCTCTTTCTCTATCCCCTCTCGTGGCAAAGAATCAGCACTATCCCTCCTTTCTTCTCATCCCTCTGTTTATCCTGGGCGTTTTTCTCTTCTTCTCCGGAGGACAGGTCGATTGTGTAGAGCAGAACTGATTATTTCAATTTTATTATTTCTTTTTTTTTCAGTCATCAGATGCATATAAATACATACACAGAAACAAATTTATACGTAGATGAAAAAAGGGAAAAAGTGAAAAGGAATTCAAATGAATTTAATAAAGATTTTTGATGTGAACATGTTTAGGTGTTTACAGGGATCTGTGTCTGAAAGCATTTGTATCTGAATCTCTCTTGGGATGGGGTTGTGGAGGAGGATAGGGGTGAATGAACAATGTTTATGAGCCTACAGTTTATGTTAATTATGCTTAAGACTATGCATGAGTTCTCATTACATGCCAAAGTAATTGAGAGCACTACTGGATAACTGCCTTATGAACTTTAAGTGGATATGGGGTTATGGATAGGTGGGGGAGTCTTGGTCTCCTTTACAGAGTTGAAGAAAGAATCTCAAGTTTTGAAGGAAGATTGTGTGCTCTCTCCTATTGCTGCCATTAGCTTTTTTTGTAATTGAATAATTTCTTGATCTGATTTTGTGAAATGTGGCCGGTGTGGTGAATAGTGGCAAGTTAAGAGCCAAGCACATAATTCCTAATGATTTTTTGTACTAAATGCAGGGTTAGAATACATAATGTCAGTTGAGTTTAGAAAGTTATCTTGAAAAAGTAATCTTGCATCGTTTTGGTTGAATAATCTGCATGTTTAGAATTAGCCTCCAAGGTTAACTCTAATGTCGTCACAAGAACACACGGAGAGTGTCCCAGAGACATGCAATGGCAGACTGAAAGATAAGTATCTCTTTAGAATCAGAATCAGATTCTGTATCTCTTTATAACATGATTTAGTCATTATCTTAACAATTGCCAAAATAGGTTCACACATACACACCAATCTCTTTTAACAGTTACAAATGTGCTGTACTGTCATACTTAAGTTATTAATATAGTTGTGGGTCTAACAGCACTCACTGACCAAGGAAGCAAAGATTACACCTGCATTGACACACAGGTCTAGTTTACAATGTGTTTTTATATATTCATTTACTTACTTTTTATTCAGCAGCGAGGACAGAGGCCAGTCAAAGAAATTGGTCACCATCATCAAATTGATAGCATCATGAATAAATGCACAGAGCAGAGCAGGAGTTCCTCGAATTCAAGTTCAGCTTATTGGTTTACAGCTGCTATGTGGTCTGACCTAAGTTGTTACAGAAAAATCCAGTGGTGACATCACCAGCTTGAGTGTTGATGGGCCAAAAGGGCCATCATTTCAGGCTATGAAGTCATAAGAGAGTTACTTTGATCAACAATAAAACAGCATGCAGGAATTTCCCCAGTGTGGGATCAATAGTACTACCTACCTGCCTACCTACCTATGATGTTTGCACCAGTATTTTACTATCAAGAGAGCATTTATGTATAAGCCAGCTGCCCTTTCAAATGTGTGCACATGTACTTTTTCAAGCAAGCATGCATGTAAATCAGCCTATGTACTTATGAATGCATATGCATAGTGTTAGTAATATATGGGTTTTGGAGGTAGCAGGCTGTGTGCGTCAGGCTGAGATGTGGGGGTGGGGTGTGATATTTATGTAGGTGTTATTGTTTGGTCAGTTAAGGCTTTTCATAATCACACTAATTCTCTTCCTGGGGTGCTGTTAAAGTCAGTCTATGTGTGAATTATAATATGTGGGAAATGCACACGCAAATCCCCTTTTAAAGTGTGAGGATGAAGACAGCTTGAATTGTATTCTACTCTTCTTTTTTTTACATGTTGAAATGCAAAGCGGAGATTGAGTGTTGCCCAGGTGTCTTATTACCTTTTACCCCTGGTAATGCTGGTGTTTGCGAGTGGTCTGGTCTGGACACACAGTCTACCGTGTGTGCCGCGTGCCACCGTTTGAAACATTAATGGCTCCAGCCGAGTGTGTGGCTGAGTGAGTGGGTGAGTGGCTGATAACGGAGCTGGGCTGGCTGATAGCTGTGTCGTGCGTCTGCCCCCAGTGCCCCCTGTATCAAAACACCATGGGAAGACAACACTCTACATGTCCTGTTCTTGAATAACCTGCTTTGACCTTATGTCTTATACGTAGTACTGTCATCTTATTTCCTCTTTTTTTATGTATGGGTTTGTAATATAGCTCTGCTGTTGTAAGGCTTGCAAACCCCTTTAGGATGCCTCCATTTCAGATTTGGATGATACAGTTTAGAGTAGGATGGATATGACAATTAATCTTATTGTCACAAGATACCTTTTGATCTTATAGTGTTAAGAATGAGGCTTGTTTTTCTTCACATTTCAGTTTTACTGTGTAAATGTCAGCATGGTATTTACGTAGAGCCCAGGGGAGCTTTTTCTCCTTATGTCGTTGGTGAATCAGTGTTTGTGCTGAGGTACAGAAGCTTACATGTCAAACACCAGGTTGTCAGGAGTCAGAATGCCGTCCGCGTCTCTGGTTTCAGCCTCTGCTGTCTGACAGATAGCTCAGCATGATGCGGTGACGTCCCCGGAAAACTTTTAGAGTGGGAAGCTGATCCAGGATCTGCCAGATTATGCAAGGTTTTACCCACTCTTAGTAGAGAGGGAGACGCAGAAAAAGACACGGTGGAGGTGAGATAAAGTTTGATATTCAGTTTCCCTAGTGCATCTCAGGAGATGTGATTTCAGGAAATCCAAAACTATCTGTCAATATCCATTCAACCCTATCTCCTCTTTCAGGCCTCGTAGCTGCAGAGAGAACAGGCAAAGGTCTATGCACGATAAACTGAAGCCACAAACCTATACATGCATTACCCTGATCTATTATACACAGAGATGTCTTCTTTAAAGGCTTTCTTTATAAAGGTCTTGACAGCTTACAGTTACAGTCATTATTATTGTATTCTGAGCATGTGTAACTGAGTCTTAGAAGTTTTCACTTTGTATTTTTTGGCCCACTTAACTGTCAGAAGAGAATAGACAAACATGCAGTTAATCAACAAACTGCGATCATTAGCTACCAGCTGGGCATTGTTCTGGCAGTATTTCTTCTGTGTAAAAACTTTGTCAATACAGATCTCCAATGTACATAATACACTCATTCACAGAAGAAAATAACATTTATTTTCAACATGCAGCCAAAGAGCTTGTACACATAGCTTGGAAAAGAAACCAGGTGCAGCTCACTGGAATTAACTCACTTTCACTGCTCTAGTTTAGATCCAAACAATAGCAGAATAAAGGCTGTTCTATTTTGACAATGTGGGCACTTGTATAGGTTATTAAAGGTACTGGTTTTGGATCTCATACACATGCACATACAAATACACATACCTGCTCATACTCACAAACAGAGAAAGACAATTTTTTGATTTAAGTGCATGGTCATTATTTGAACACATGTTCAAATCAGGGAACCTATTTGTCATTTATATCAGTGGCTTGTTATTCAGTATGAGGCACTTAACTGGGCAACACAACAAATGAACAATGTGTGTCAATGTCATTTGGGGAAGAACACAGTGCAGCTCAGTATATTTCTGGTCATTCGGTGATAGTGAGGCAGGGACAATTAACCTGAACTATGTTCTATGCACTTTGATGTACAAGCAATAACTGATCTTGCTTACCGTTATCTGAATGAGACAGAGTATTTTCAGTTCCTTAAATGCAAGCCCAGCTTCTTTTTTTTTCTGGTATTGTGCATGGACTGTTAGAGTCAGTGGGTGTTGAACCATCAGCAGACTTCACTTTCCTTTTGTGCTGTTTCTCTAAGAACTACCCTTTTTAAAGAGGAGGAGTTATTATGGTAGGTTCATATTTATTCCCACATGAGTGAGAGAATAGGTCTAAGATGATTTTCTAAGATTTTTGGTTATAATTTTTGCCATAATTAAACGATTACCACAAGTCGGATAAAAAAAAAAAGGTAAATTTGACACTGAAATATTCTGTTTAATGTATGTGCGTACATAAATCTCCAAATACTTCCTGTGAATAAGAATAATTATTTGAACTCTGTCCTTACCTCAGCTAATCCTTCTTATTTTCATTTCATCTCCTTCTTTTACCTAGGTGACATTTACAAAGCGAAAGTTTGGCCTGATGAAGAAAGCATATGAGCTGAGTGTGCTGTGTGACTGTGAGATTGCCCTGATCATCTTCAACAGCACCAACAAGCTGTTCCAGTACGCCAGCACAGACATGGACAAGGTCTTGCTTAAATACACTGAGTACAATGAGCCCCATGAGAGCAGGACCAACTCCGACATTGTGGAGGTAAGCAACAAGAAAACCTAGATGGTACACATGCATATGCACATTGATACATGGGAGCACACATGCATACACAGACATGTGCACACTTATGCAAACACAGAAACACACAAGCAGACAGATGGTTCCAGCATTTGTGACTCATTCAGCAACCCTTACCTCTCTGTTTTGGTTTTCACACCTAGCACTGTGTAATAAATAATTGCTACCGTAGTTTGTCAGTCTTCCCCAAGGGGTCAGTTCCAATATCAGTAACTTTTAAAAAAGGTATTTTAAGACTCATAGTATGTCATAATTTAAAAAAATAGAGTTTATTTAAACTGCCTGCTTGTACTGTGTGTACTTAACAGATTACAGTAACATAAACGGGACAGCCTATCATTGATCCGGAATTTTCAGACTGTCCCCTGTGTAATCACCAGCACCTGCCCTTGGTGTGTTGTCACCACTGATGTAGCTCTTAGAGGAGGATGTTGATCTGACCTCGTTGGGACACATGACGCTAGTCTGGCTCAAGGCGATATAAGACACTGCTGTCAGACCAGCTAGTAGGCAGGTAGATAAAGCAGGATATGATGCTCGCACCTTCTCGGGTCCTTAAGCTCTCACTGTGAACCTGTTATGCAACATTCACACCGGAGCTCTGAAAAATCTGGTGGGCTGCACATGCATACATGGATGCATTCATGCAGTTTATCCCCTTCTCTTGCCCGCACTCATTAACACTCACACCATGCTAGCTGATTAAACTACACCCGTCCCACAAAGTAGGTCTTGAATATTTTTCATATGCATGAAAATGTCATAAACAATAAGTTATTGGTAGAGAAGCATAATTGTAATTTATTAGGTCAACTCTGTTAAAATGTATGCATACTCTGTGAATCTATCATTATTTGATCAGCATTTAAAAAGACCAGTGTACCAGAAGAAATGTGGGGACCAATGAGACATAATGAATATATACTGGACCTATGGAGCACACTGGCCAGTCTAACACAGAATCAAACAGCATGGGGCATGTTTTATTAATCTTTTCATAAGGGTGTTCCTGGGCTTGTTGTCCACTCACAGGTGGACAGGCCCACTGGCAACACTCTTCCTATTCCACATGGCACTATTCTCCTGACTGCAAACCATTTAAATATGTTGTCTAATGTTTGCCACTTTGAAATATAATAAATACAATATATATTATTCCCATTCCTAATGTAATTACATCTTTCTTCATATCATGTTAGAAACAGCATAAATATGTATTGTAAACTTTGCTGTTTGCTGTTTCATTAGTTTGTTTCATTGCCATTTCCATTTGATGCGGTCAAATATATAGCATGCTAATGTAGCTTATACATCAAATGATTCAGCACTCAATGTATGTCTAACCTTAATGATGAAAACAAAGAGAACGGACTGGGTGCCTTATCATGGATAGTATTTGGAAGCACAAATAAATCCACTAGTCACAGCATAACAGCATATTCTGTTTTGTAGTGTGACATGTATTCTTATTCCCTTCCAATAATTTATTTTATTTGAGCTTGTTTTGTCTTATTGATGCAGAAGAGGTTATAAAATTGTTTAGTTATGTTTTTAGTCATCTTAATTTGAGTTTCATTAAAAATCCGCATGAACCGCCTCAGCTACGAAGTATCAGAAATAAAATAAAACATTTATTCTCTATCTAATTATCATTATATAATTTATATTAACCCATTTGGAATCTACTCATATTGATAGTTTTTCAAAAACCACTAGTAAGCTTTATGTATCAGGCTTGTTAGCCACTGACTGGGCAGTGTATTAACCTGCCCCAGCTGAACTATAAAGAGAGTTGTCACATGTTTCAGTAAGTGTCTGAAGGAGAGCTACCAGCTTTGAAGCTTTCTCTTTAACTGTGTCTCCATTATAGAACACAGGATAGCTAAGGTGTAAACAGCCGTAAGACGCAAAAAAGCCTAGTGGGGGAGAGGGCTGTGAAGTGTTGCATACACTGTGATGATCCCTGGAGAACTCAGACTCCACACGCTCTGAGCTTCTCACAGTGGGATAAATCGATCTGAAGAGGCCTCCAGCCTTAGCTGCAGCATGCTAACGGGATTGGCCGCAGGGTTGACACTAGCACGTTTAGCATGGGTAAGAGAGTGGTGTGTGGAGAGAGAGGGGGAGGGAGAGGGACCGCGGGCCGGATCTCTCCCGCCGAGCCTTGTGTGCTGCTGCTAGGCTACGTCACAGGTGCAGTGACATGGGTGGTGTTGCCGAGTTTTGGTGGGAGGCAGGAACAGACTTCCTGTTGAGATGGCAGGATGATGAGGAGGAGGTCAAGAACAAGATGAAGGGCTGGATTTAGGGGTGTAGGAAACAATCTAGGTTCCCCCCCGAGAACATTAAGACCTTAAATATGACATCTGATATGTGACACATCTGATTTCAAATTTGTCGAACGTTCTTGTCTCTTAAAGTATACAGAAATGCATTCATCTGTCTTCCTCTGTTGCTGCTGTGCCTGAAGGTGTAGTGGGAGGAGAGGCAGAGGTAGGGGAGCAGAGCTCAGCGTGTGGGCGGCTGGCATACAGGCCTGCTACATTAGCAATAAAGCTCTATGTAATTAGCATGTCTTTGGTTGATAATTAGCGTTGTTGAGAGAGTGGCACTGAAAGCGTTGCACAGCCTCTCTAGCTACAGCATGTTTACAAGAGGCTGGAGGGCTTTTCTCTCTCCCTCACTCTTTTTCTTTCATTTTTTTAATCCAATTTTTCACTGAACATACAGAATCAGAAGACTTTTCACAGTATGCTGAATTTATGTGTGGGTCATTGACTGTATTTGAGAGACAGAAATGAGGCATTGAAAGAGCGAGATAAAGAGAGAGGGTGAGGACTGGTAAAGAAGGTCCTGATGATTCACTTGAGACCATCTCAGCTGGGAATGACACTTCCGCAAATATCCCTGAAAGCAAACGACCAAGAAGGCAAAGCTAACCCTCCTTTGAGCACAAATGGCAAAACAAAAGAAGCATTACTAATCAACATGGCTACAAGTTATTGTGGTCACAGTCCTAATGCATGACACCCCTGAACCCATGATATTCAGATAAATACAGTAGCAATTTGAAACAAACAGAAGATGTTTTTTAATTATTTGAATGTTTCCATGTAATCCCAAGCCATGCCTTGCCATGTAGAACACAGTGGTATCTAAACTCTCAGAGAATCCCCCAAGAGAGTGTTGTAAATCATGTACTAGTGTTATCACCTGTTACGTAAACAAGTGGGGTGGTCAACTTAATCAATGCTAAATGTTTAAAGAAACATCTAAGCTCATCCATACTCTCGTAGTTTGATGAGACCGGACACAGAGGCAGATTCTCCATAATTGGACGTCCAAGCCGAATCCAAGTGCGTCATTCTGGCAGGTCTACAGTGGATTCTGAGTCTGGCTCCAGATAAAACAGTCAAACATGCAGATAGATTTCCTATGCTCGCTGTCTGCCAGGCCGGTTTCCTGGACATGTGAACAGCATTAAGACAGAAAAAGGAAGTCGTGTTGGGAAATGACAAAAGAATTGATCATCTCTTCTTTTTCCCTCTCTCTTTAGTCCTGCTTGAGAACAATCACTTTGAGCTCTTATTGGTGATTTATTTTGCCAGTGTGGGGGTTGTTAATTGCTATAGCACATGAAAGAGTCTTTTCTTACCCCTCCTGATGATTGCAGATCAAGACTAAACCTAAGCAGGGATCTTGCTGTGTTTGAATGACCTCGAATCCATTGGGCTGTGCCAAATCCTCGTTCTATGTGTTTGTTTGCCCTTCTGCTGAAACAAAGAAAACAGGTTTGTGATACAACTGAAGGGTCAGTGAGTGAGCTGTGATAGTGAGCTGCCTGGATATACATAAGTGGAAGGAGGCAAGGATGCAATAATGTACCATATGTGTTGCTTGTGTATATACGGCATAAGCTGTTGTACTCATATGCAAAGACACAAAAGTGTGTTTCGGCCTGTGTCAGTGTGTGCTCACAGTGGCTACACTCCATGGGTCTACAGAGCTGATGACATTGCGATGACCTCAGCCAGCACAGCACACTCTGAAGTCATTGGCTCAGATATCACATGGAATAGCACATGAGTCTTCGCACTGAGCTGATCTGCCTGCTTTCTTACCTGCCAAAGGAAAGGCTGTCAGCCAATCCCATTTCCAGCAGATTAACCTAATCTGAAAGTTCAGCTCACCCTGTAATTTTAAACAGCAGCAGCTGGCACCTGTCCCCCCCCCCACACCTATCCTCAACTTATTTCTCTATCCCTCTATCCTCACCTAAAAGAAAGTGCTGAGTGAGAGGGGGGAACAGGAGGGACAGAGGGATGGATGAGTGTGAGAATAGAATAAGGGAGGGAAAAGAGGGATGGAGGGAGGAAGGCTGGTAATTATTTCCAAAGGTCATTCTGTTAATGACTACCCGCTTGGCTAATGAGATTCAGCAAAGCTCCCTCACCATGTTTCACCCTGCGTATGTTTCACCCCTGTGCTGAGATGTGTGAGAAGCACAGGTGCGATTTCAGCCTAGTGACAGTCCACTGGAGGGACGGGGGGGAGGGAAAGTTGAGGGGGTGTAAATGAAGTAACATAAAGAGAAAATAAATCAAGTAGGTATGTCTGGGAGAGGGCAAAAAGAAAATGAGTAGTTGTACGGTAGCATATCTACACCAGGTCACTGTATGATTCTGGCAATAAAAACTGATTTTTTCCACACTGTAAGTACTACAGAAACTGATTTGGTTGATTTCATCTACTTCAACAATGCCCTTCCATATTACTTTAAATGCCTTTTCTTGGTTTCTCATAATGTTCGTTCAAGTCAACAGGACACATTCTGCCTCTTTCTTGTGAAAATATTTTCCTGCATGTGTGCTACTCTGTGTGTTTATTTGGTTTCTAAACAGCATGGAGAACATAAGCCTTAAGGAGTTTTCTGCGTTGATCAGCTCACTGACTGGCTTCTT